GAGTTAGGGTAGACTTAGTACAGGCTTTTTGTGAGTTTGAGGAAAGCAGGCGATGCACTAGTGCAGGGTTACAAAGATGAACTGTTTCATGTGGTTTTAATCAAAGCTGGGATGCCTGGAATTAAGGGTCACCACCCTGCGAGGTACCTTGAGAAGAACTGCTGTTTCAAATAAGGCCATTGCTGACATGAATGTGCACTGAACGTTATGCTTTGTTAGAAACCAGGCATAACAACCAAACCAAACAAAACCAGAAAGAAAACCCACATATCAACAGGATATCTCAATTTGTATTTTACAGTAATTTATAGTACAGAAAAGAAGGAATATTGTTTCATTGTCCAAGAAAAGAAGACATTTAACTTGTTCAGGCACATCTAATATATTACACAGTAATGATTCTGAGCAGTTCTGAGGCCAAACCACACTTGAAAAAATTGGCCAGATTTGTTCTCTATTATATCCTCTTCACCCTGCTCCCACAGCTGCCTGCAGCATCCTCCTTGCCTCTGCTGGCTGCAGCCACAGCCCTGAGCTTGGGCTCATCAATCTGGTTCCACCTGGATCAACATATGCAATCGGCTCCTGCACCTCCACGGTGCTCCTCAGTACTCCCAGATCCCAGACTGGGATACAGGGGCAGACAAGCCTACCTCGCACTCAGCCTGACAGACTCCACACTGCCTGGCTCTGTCATATGCCAGAGCCCTTTGCAGAGCCACAGCTCATAGGTACCACACACTTCCTCTGGCAAGAGCTGGTTTTGGGTGTCTCAGAGGTGACGATGCATTGCTTTCTATGCACTCTGATAGGGAGGAGATAAAGGTTCATCACAACTGCATCTTCAGCCAATGGTTAAAAATCAAATGTGAGTTCAGTGTGCAGGATTTGGATCAGAAGTTAAATCTACAGTTGTTTCAGTCAGTGATGCTGGGTGGTTGCAGTGTTAATTTTTTTGAAAAAGGAGATGAAGATAACATTAGAAACCCACAGCTCCATGGCTTTGGTCTAGGTTTTGCATTTGATTTATCTCTTGACATTGAAATAGAGTTGGACACAGACAGCTTAATACAATGCAGTTTTACCAGGTCATGGGCACTTGTTCCCTTGTTGCCTAGCTATCCTGAGTAAAAATAAACAAAGCACTCAAGGTAGGCATAGTTCTGGATGGGGAGAAGGGCTTAAATGTTGTTCTGTAAAACTTAACTAAGCAGATGAAAATAGGTTCTGACACATTTATCCTGGGCTTTTCTGGCACAGAACTAGCCTTGTTTTTTGGCCAAAAATCGTGTCAAATTCATGTTAGGATTGAAAAAATTAACTCATCCAAGGAGAAAAAGCTCAAAGATAAGACTGAAAAAACATATGCCAGCACTCTGTGTGATGCTGCACCAATGGCTACTTGTCCAGTTACTTAGCAAAGAGGATTGTTAGATGTCTCCATGGGGACTGGAGCCATCGCCCCCACAGTGGCCACAGGAGATCTAACAGCAAAGCTACCAGTAGGGCTTCATAAATAAATTCCAATGTGCTTTACCCCTTGCATCCTTTAGAGATTCAAAAGCAAGTTTGAATAGAGAACTGGAAGCCTGAAATTTCCAGTTACCTCTCTTGACAAAAAAGATTTAATGATGAAGGGCTGTCATAAAAGGAGGAGGCCAAGCAATTGTCTAGATATGGCCAAAAGGTAGTTGCACATTTAGGATCATTTGAATTTGAATCTTTAGTAATCTTAAATTGAAAATTTAGATTTATGTAATGCGGGGGACAGAAAAAATAGAAGGAAAATAGCAAACACCTTTCCAGTGTTTCCACTTATTAAGCAAGGGAGCTGTTGAGGAATGGGATAGTGTGGGCCTGACTTGCACTGAGTAGCATAGTGTTCTTAAAGAAGCCCACAAACCACTGCAGGGCACTCCTGGGGGTCTCTTGTTTTCCAAATTTAGCTGCACAAGAGGAACTGCTACTTTTTTTTCACCCAAACTTTGAATACAATCCAGTCTTTCCAAGCTTCATGCTTAGAACATTTATGTTGTGTGAGAATTTGATATGCTGTCTTGAAATTTACGTACCTTACTATTTTGTGTACAAATGTAGTAAATCAGCAATACTAGCAAATTCTGCCTGAAAAATGCTAGCAGACTTCTTCCTTTAGGAGCCTAACAGATCCTTTGCAATCCTCCTTATGGACAAGCAGTGAAGCAGCATTTGTGTCTGTGTTCTCCTACTGCATTTGGAATGAAGCTTATTGTCATTTTGGATCTGCTTGCAGTTACATTATCGAACCCAAACAAATAAATCTAGACAAAAAAATTTCCTAAATAGGACAATGCATGGCCAATGCTCTAAAATTCAGCATGCAGTAGATTGCCAGAATGTGAGTATATTTTTGTTTTTCCTTCTGCCTGCCAAGGCTAGTTAAATACTGAAGCATAATAGTAATAGCATCTTGTAACAGGATGTTGCTATTTGCAAGCATTTATAGGTGATTTTTGCAGGGAACTGGCAACTTCTGTATCTCATATCAACACTTCTAAAGACATATTTGGCTGATGGTTGTTTGAATGCACAACATGTAAACTATTCAATATTTCATTTGTATATTGTTCTGTTTTGGGACACCCTATATATAGGGCCATAAAAGTTCTTTCATGACTGTCCCTGATGCTGTTTTCATTTGGGGTTTATTTTTAGTGTGAGGAGTAGAAGTAATACTAGGATTTTTCTAGAAGAGCCTTAACCTTATTGAAAGACAAAAACCCCCAAATAAATTTGGCATGTCTTCAAAGCTCTCTCAGCAGTACAGATGTCTTCTTGTGCTATATTCCAAACAGTTTTCTTAGACCCCCCAACTGCTGGCTGAAGTAAATTTGCTCAGCTGCATAAATGAGAAAGAATTTCATACTGTGCATGTTTGAAAGCTTGCGAACCAAGTGTAATCTACTGTCATCATCATTTACATCTTCTTGTGCACACAGTGTTTGTAGTGAAGCAGTTAATACATTTTAGTTACTGTTCCTCCCTGTTTGATAACCCTCACAATCCCAGACTGAACTTTTGTACTCATCATGCATCAGGGCTTCCCAGTACCTTTACCTGGAATGGCTTGTTTCAAACATGCCTGTTGAGTTCCCTTCCTTAAAACACCTGACAGATGAAGGAATGGGAAATGTTAGGAAAGATGTGTATATGCCATTAAACAGGGGGAAGCATAGTGGAGCTGTTTCCCCTGATAGAAATGACCAAAAAGATGACCCTAAGAGCCCAACTGATATTAGAATTGATGTAGTTGATGTATGTGGAAGGATTTAGAAGAAAAGGACCAGAAAACCAAGGACAGAGCAGAAGAAAATAGGGCCCAGGTTAGGGGTTAGGTTAGACTAAGAAATACAAGGTGTTTGAAGGCAGCTTTTTAGACCAAGCTAATTTAGAAGTGGATAATTCAAGGGTGGAAGTTGTGTGCTCATGTCTCTGTGAAAAGGAAATCAGAGGAGCACACTATGGGTGTCAGAGCCCACGGAGGGATGAGGGACACTGAGACATCAGATGAGGCTCTGACTGCAAAATGTGTTCAAAATGTGTTCAGAACTGATCCACTTAATGACTCATATGTGATAAAGGCAGGTTTGCAGGTAAGAGCAGTAGTTGGAAACCCAAGCCCAATTTCCAGAAAAAGCTGTGTCTGACTCATGAATTTAGGCCCTGGGCTGTAATGTGGGACTATTCTGTGTGGATTCATAACTCATCCCTGCCCCTCATCAGCTCTTTGTAACTGCTGCAATAATTACTGGAACCAGCTCTTCCAACGGAGCCCTTCAGCAAGTTACATTGCCAGTAACCAGTTCTGCTGATCACATCAATATGAAAACTAAACTGTATTTCTAAAATGAGTTTGCTGAAGCAGTCTTGGGCCCAAGCTAAGAATTAGGTCCTGGCATCCAAATGCCTCAAAATATATAAGCACAAAATATTACAGCCTTCTCACCCACATTTCAGGAGTTTAAAATGGGTCAACTTGAATAATATTTCTGACTTTCTTGTTTGTACTCCATCTTTAGCTCCATTAGAGTACACTTTGATTAATAGAACCTGTTGTCACCCTTGTTCTGTGGATCAGGCTATTTTCTTTCAGAAGTAATTATTGCAGTTATACAACAAGGTTTGAAATTGACTGTGCTTTCTCTTGCAGTTTTGATTTTAGCTATTCTAAGGAGCATGCTAAAAATGTTGTTTTACAGCTGTGGCCATATCTTGCATGTGTACTGTCAAAAACGGACTAGATTGACATTTAGTAGTTTAGCTCCTGGCAAGAGTTGGATATTTGTCAGCACCACTGGTCCATAACCAAAAAAGGTATTACTTGGAGAAAAAAAAAAAAAAAATCTTTCAGACAATTTAGGTTTCTGCTTCTGAGTGCGAAAAAGCAGGCAAAAGATATTTTATATTGTGAGCATGGAGATTTTCCTCCAGCAAAAGTATCTGATAAGTTTTCTTCCATAAGGGTTGATTTAGGCTTTCAAAATACACCAAGTAGGAATTCTGGTGGTGCTGTGTGTAAATTTGTGCTGCTGTGAGCTGAGGCTGCCAACTAATGCATAGGAGAACTCAGAAACCAAGAGAGTGGAACACTAAGGGGAGGCAGCAACAGGAAAGGGACTCGGGGGAAGGACTTAACTTTCAAGTTTTGTGCTTGACCTCTGTCAGTCATTTGCTCTGCAGTAGGAAAAATATAAACTAAACCATTGGCCTTTGCAACTTTGAGAAGGCTGCTTTACAGGAACTTGTCACTTTCAACCTTTGAAGGAAATGGGAGCTCAACTGCAAATTCCACAGCATTTTGAGGTAACATTTTTATGGACTATCACTACACTTTCTTTGGAGTCTTTTTTTCATATACAAAATGTGTGTTGCTTCCTGCCCTAGTATTTTTATAAGATTGTTTCCTTTATTTCTCGTTGTTGCCTTGTGTTTATCTTCATTATCCTTTTTTTTTCTTTTAGGCAGGAAATCGTAATTTGAGAATACCACCTAAAAGCTAAGGCACTTCTTTATTCAACACTTGTAAGTATTTCTGTTGTCTCTGCTGGACATTATATTATTCCCCTGAATATATGACCTAGCAATCTCTTGCAGTATGTGCTCTTCTCATAGCTATTGCTGTGTATTACTATGTTTCTTCACTTTGATTTTTCACTTAGACAGAAGTATCTGCAAAAGCTACCATCAAGGAAGTCTAAGCAGTAGGGAAATGCATTCCTATATGGCTCAAAGAACCCCCTTGTCTCAATTGCAAGCAGCACTCTCTCACACCCAGTTTCTTCCTAAATCTCTGGCTTTAGTATGAAGTGCAATGGCTGTTGTACATAAATACTAGGTGTTTGCTGGCTGGTGAATACCTATACCAGTGCCAAATAACTCAAATCTACAGTCCAGGAAATACTCAGGATGCTTCCTTTTAAATCAAGAAAATCACTCTCATTACATCAATTAGGTAGCACTTAGAGGAAAATTGATCCAGGATATCCAAAGGCATTAGTAAAGTGTTGGGTTGTTTCTACTCCATTAGGGTTATATCCTGGCCAGTGGTTTGATCAGGATATTTGAAAAATCTGGAGCCATTCTACCAGAGGAACCATTGCCCTCTCTGCAGGTGTTCAGCAGGAGTCCTCAGCAGAAGGGGGAAGGAAAGGTTTGCTCAGTCCTGTTCTCTCATGCTGTTACTGCTAGTTCCCTTTGATCCACAAACCAAGGCAGCAGCTCCTCAGTCTCTGTGGGGAAAGCAGTGCCTTGCTGTATCTCTGCCTGCTGTGGATCCTGAAAAATGACCAGTGTCAGAGGGGCCAAGGTGGGGCCCTGCCACGTGTGCCAGCCTCAACACAGTCATATGCTCAGCACATTTGCAACTGTGCAATGCAGTGGCTCATGTTAGAAAGCATGAATAGCTCAATATGGTGTAAAGAAATCTGTAAAGGCTCCAATTTCTGTGGCCATAACCCTTTCTGATTTAGGGAAACTGTTTATTTAAATAGTTCACTTGGTTCTACTGATGCACTCTAATTGAATTCAGCTGAATTATTTCCCTCTCTGCTGCCAGCCTTCGCCCTCCTGCAGCTCCCTGGCAACCAGGTCCAGGGCAGGCCTTTAAAAGAGGCACTGCAGAGTCTCTTCTGCAGTCTGTTGAAATATCACTTCCCTCATTATCAGGCGGTGCACTATCCAGACTATTGTCAAGAATGAGCCTCCTGTCCCATCTGGCCTGCCATTGCCAGCAGCAGGACCCTTCCCAAGCAGCAACCTTCTAGACCCTCACAATGAGCAGCACCTTGGGACAGCAGCAGCAGTTTCACCCACACCTTTTTTTAAATATGAGATCTATAAAAGATGTACATTTTTTAATCTATTAAAATATCCAAATTCTATAATTTGTCTATCCACAATCTACTGCAGTGGTAAATTATTTGCCTGTAGATCTCCCATCATCAAAGGTACCTCATAGAGCATCAGCAGTGCATGTCTAAGCTCTGCTGTAAAACCTGGGCTAGACTGTAAAGCACAGAGTCATTATTTCTGGGTTTGCAGAAAGAACTGAGTGCTTGTGACACATCCATGAACCTTGTTTGGCCAGGACATTCCCAAATGGTCCAACATGAGCAAGGTGGAAGTGGGGTGAAGAGGGTTTTGAAGCTTTTTTTTTTTTTAACTTAACTTGAAGACTACAGGACATTCTAGATATGTTCAGAAGATTCAATTGCAGTTAGCCTCATAGCAGTTTGAAATGCTCAGCATTTTCCTGTAAAATTCCTAGGAATAAGAGTCCAGATTAATAGTCTTGCCAAATTACTGTCATGATTTTGCTTTCCAAGTGTAAAATTCCCATCGAAATCACTTGGTCACTTTCTATTAACTTGAGCCTCAGTTGAGCTAATCTTAGGATAAACACTCAGGGAAAAGTTTCATAGTGCTTCAGGCATGAGAAAATAATAAAAAAAATTCTACTAGCATTTTGGGAAACTTTTATAAAAATGGACAACACTGGAAATTAACTTTCAAACAAAAAGTCTAAAATAGTCTGAAATTTAAGGGAATGTGGCTTGACTACAAGGGACAAATTCCTTTATATTGTGTATACACTAAGGAGAAAGAAAATAAAAATTTTATAAAATTCTCCTGCTAGATTAACAATATGCAAATAACTAGTGCTGAACTTGGAAAAAAATTTGCATTTTTTCCATGTTTTGCATGGAGCACTTGCTAAACAGCCAGCGTCCCTCACCCAGCTATTGCATGAACAAGCCTGCACTTTTTCAATGCATGTTCCTAAGATGAAGAGATCACAAACCCTGTTAAAACTTTGCTTTATGAGACATAACCCCAGTTTCTCCCCCTGAAAGGCAGAGGATACTCAAGTGCTGCAGCACTAGATAAACAGAACTGTAAGTGGCATGTTGAAGACATGATTTAATTTATAAAACTGTAAAAAACTAAGATGAGGGCTGTAAGGATAGGATGCTGAGCAATAAACATTAAGATAAGTTTTTCTGTCTTAACTTCACTATTGTATCCTTTGTGGCATTGCAGGGAAGGCAATGCAGGGAGTAATACAATAACATTTCCTTGTGGCATCTGCAGTCTTTACTGTGCACAGCAACAAAGTTGTTTTATTGGAATAATGTCATAATTTTTAACAGTATAACTGATCGTGTTGGTGTCTGGGGGAATTTCCAAGTACCTGAAGTACATGGGCTGCAGCAGGAAAGTCTCATTACCTGTACAAGCTGAGTAGGGGATCATTCCCCAGCTCCATGTCTGGTTTTGGCAGCCAGTGATTTTCCTGGTGCATGTGGGAGGTCACTGCCAGACTAGATAAGACCAGAATGAAGTAAATTAAAATTTCCTTAAGAAAGGGGATTTCTGTCTTATCTACAGAACTGAAACTAGGGCAGAATGTTTTAGCCTTTCCTGACCTTTCCCCCCTTCCCTTTAAAACACTACAGTATTAGGTTGACTTACAGCATTCTGAAAAACTTCATATTTTGCTCTTTCAAACTATCCTTATCATGCCCAAAAGAGAAGATAATTTGGTTTGGTTTTATTAAAATCCTTTCTGAACTTTTTACACTGTAGCTATTCTTCCCAAATGAGTCATACAATAACCATTCCCAGTTTGTAGTCAGTTCTCCAAAGAAGCAGAAGAAAAAAGAAACAACTTCCTTTTAAGGGAATGAGACCTGTTTGTAAAGATAAACCTCTTTCTGTTTCTATTTGAAGACATTCTCCATAACCCAAGAATTGATAGTTATAAAAACACTACCTACTTTATTTGGACTACAAAAACAGTCCTAGCTATAGAACATTGTTTAATTTAGCCTAAAGCATCTGTATATACACTCACACATAAGGGCATTGTTGGAACGACACATGCAACATGTCAAATGAGCAGCAAGTTTACCAGAAATCTGTAAGAAACAGCTTGACATTTGTTTGATTTCCTTTCATATAATATTTTAAAATCGATTAGTTTAAACAAAGGAGTATTTAATATTTATGTGAAATGAAAACAGTTCAAGAGTATGTAATTGTATAAGTAAGCTAACAGCAATTTCTTTTAAAGTGCTGTATGCTCCCCCAAAAGGAGTCATGCTGCTTGAATGCTAGACAATACATATGCTCTTAGGATTTGGGAAAATATCTGCATGCCATAATTTGCTGTGACAATCTATGAACCTCTGAAAGCCACTGTTATTTTAATAGCAGCTTTGTTGTGCTACTCAATTTCTGTCCTTAGAAACTGTAACAGGTATTTAAGTGTTCTCACTGGGCATTTTGTTCTCAGACTGTGGGCCTGCCAAGCTTATTCCATTAGCCTGGCAACCAGCAAATGCCAGTTTCTCTAGTACCACATTAAAAAAGATTAAAACATTAAAAACTTGGGATTACTTATTACTTGGGGTTTTTTCTCCCTTGGGAGTGGGATCACTTTGCAATCCAGGGTATCCAAAAATGTATTCTAATTTTAATGGAAGCTGGAACTCAGGTAAGAACCAGATTCCGGTAGCTGCTACTGTAAGGAAAGTTGCATTAGTCAGGAGAACCACAGTAATTTTTAAAAAGTTGGGCTATGGGGATTTTTTAAGATATCTGACATTCTATTCAAGATATTAATTTTTATAGTATAAAATTAAAAATTTAAAGTGTGATTGCATGCAAATTAAACTATTTCACTGGATCTGTTACTTATACAGAAAGGTAAGAATAGAGTTATAAATTAGTTAAAGATTGAAGGGGACAAAAACCTGATATTAATTCAGACACAAGCAGAGATGAATTGTTAAAGTTGTATTGCCATCCATTTAGCTCTGAACCCCTGACACTATAGTTTATTAGAGAGGTGGAGACAACAGAATCCTTTGTAAAAGGGATTTATATTACCAGAGGAGCTACAGCAGACTTTAGCTGTGTTGTTGAAATAAATTAATCAAAACCAGCAGGGGAGCGTCCTTGAATTACAATGGATGCATTATTCAGAAATTGTAGATTGAATTTTTAAGGAAATCCAAAAAGCATGGAGCTTGGGAAGGAGCCAGCTGGGGTTGTTTTTAATGCTGCCATTTTGACAGTTCCTAATATAAGAAGCTGGAGTATTGTTTCATACCTTTGGCATACATTTTTGTGATTTTATTTAATTTTCTTCCTCTGAATTATTATTTTTATATATTAGCACAAACGTAATATGGCATCTCTCATCCCAGATAGATCCTGAAGTACTTTCATGGTCTTTGTCTAAGACCTGTGCCAGCTTTAAGACATATGCTAAGTCAAGGATGCAGTTCCACAGACAGAAGGCTGCAGCCCACACATTCATGAAATGCATCGATCCTAGAGCAAGACCAGCCAGATGTGCTCCTTCTGGGAGCTGAAGTAATGTTTTCCTAAGAAACCTTTCACAGAGGAAAGGGATGCAGGCTAACTGATGCCATTAGATCATAGGCATGAGTTGGAAGTTTAGTTTAAAATATTTTTTAGAAGTGAAATTCCTGCAGAGGGTCAGAACCTCCAGGTGC